CACTTCTGGACATTTTATATGGTGGAATTGTAGGGTGTTTTGTGACTTGCTTCTTTCACTCAACATATTTGCAAAGTTTACCCATGGTGCAGCATGAATCAGAGTCACCCTCTGTATTGCTGAATAATATCTTCGTGGCATCATTACACAGCGCTTGGTTTAGCCACGCATCCATTCGTGGACAGTCGAGTTTCTTTCCACTTTTTGACTGTTATGAATAATGCTGCTATGAATATTCACGTACAAGCTTTCATGTGGGCATACATTTTCACTTCTAAGAGAACCTTGAGATCTGAGGGTCATTTTATGTCTAACCTCCTGAGAATCCTCCAGTCTCTTTTCCACCACAGCTGCACCACTCGGCTCCACACTAGCAGTGGTTACCCCAGCTCTCAACATAGGATTTGGCTCAAAGGATGTCCCCAAAAACCATTCATGGAAATGAGAAAGGGGGGACCCAGCATTTAAGACGGAAAAGATGGCGGTGAGATGGAAATCGGATGATGGCCCCGGCAGTATCTTGTAGGTGACAGTCTCCATCCACACAGGGAACCCGTGTATCTAGGTCTGCTCTGATTCGGGTTGTTTGCTCTCTTTATCCCAGTACTGCCTAACACTAAAGGAGACACACACACACACACACACACACACACACACAGAGTGATGAAAACTGTTGAGATCATGTGAGGTCATAGTGCATTTCTGAAAGCAGAGCGCAAAGCAATGTAGCCCTGGCTTTGCGCTTTGCTTGCTCTGAGGCATATTTTCAGCTAAGCTAAGACGCCCTTCCCATCTCATGGTCTGGTCTGAATGAGGGCAGGGAGACCAGAGCCCCAGCTGTAAGTCTCAGTCTAGGAAAAAAATGTTGACATTAGCCCAGCTACCAGAAGCCTTGTGTTTATTCACACAGTCTCACACTTCCAGTGTGTATCTGTGATATGGGCGCAACACAACCAGCTCACATGTTACAGTGACAGTGGAGGGCTGGGCCTGACCTACCCAGATAAAAACAAGGAAAGCCAACTCATCGTGCGGTGGCCTGGCTCCTCTGGGCTGAGACATCCCTGAGAATGTAGATTCAAGTTCCAACCTCTCAACTGTTTTCATTCACAGCATTTCTGACACGAAATGTGTGGGGGTTTTCTTCACATAAATCAACTTTCCCACTCTCCAGATACCACCTGGGTGTCCTACAATCCAATTCAATTCTGACCCTGACTACCTGGAGTTAGCACAGAACCATTCTGAGGTGCAGGACTCAGTCCCATGGGGTTGCCTGCCCCACTTCCCATGCCAACAGCAAGCCCAGGCCACCATCATGGATGGACAGCTACAAAGTCCCAGATTCCCCCAACTCTGTCCTGTGCTCCATAGTTAATGAGAAAGGCTCACAAAAAGCTCGGGGAAACACTTCACCTATTTTTACCAGTTCATTTTGAAAGGATACACCCATCTCAGGAAAAGCCAAATGAAGGAAACTCACAGAGCAAGGTATGGGGAAGGCCCACAGAGCTTCCGTGCCCTCCCGGAACAGAGCTTGGACCTCCCTGACATCTCAGGAGGATTCCGTGGAAGTTTCACAACCTAAGCACAGCTGATTAAATCTCTGGCTATTGGTGAGGCTCAGTTCTCTGCCTTCTCCCCTCCCAAGAGGTCAGGCTGAAAGTTCCTAACCTATGATCACAGGGATGGTTCTTTCGGTGGGCACATCTTATCTGGAAGTTCTCTAGGGGTTGGGCCACAGACATCTCATTAATATAAACTTAGGAATGGTTCTTTTTTTTTGGTACCGGGGATTGAACTCGGGTCCTTGCGCTTGCAAGGCAGGCCACCGAAACGCTGAGCTAAATCCCCGGCCCAGGAATGGTTCTAAAGGGCTTATTGTGGGTGAGAATAGACGGTCCCTTCACCCTGCCTCAGTCCTTTTCTTACTGTACCTCATGACCCTTTCCCTTCTCTTCTTCATACTCCACAGCCAGCTTCACCCAGAGCTTTCTAGTGCTTGCTGCCTTGGCCTGCAGTCTTCTCTCCGTCATCTCACCAGTGTGTCTGTCCAGTGAGCTTGGATACTTCACTTTGTGGGGAGGCCCTCTCCAGTTCCCAAGCCTGACCTGGGATTTGCTCTCATGCCCTGCATATTGTAGTCTCCTCTGCTGAGTGGCACTGCACTTTCTTATGTATCCTTCTGTTTCCTGTTTCCTGCTCCAGACGCAAAGCTCCATGGTAGAGGGAACATGGAGGGGAGTGGGCATCACGATAGCTGAGATGCCTGCAGAGTGCACACCACGTGACCGGAAGTCAATGCACACTTGTTAAATGAACAAGTGACAGCCTTTTCCAGTCAACCACAGTACACTAGCAAGCAGCATCGTAGAACCCTGAAGGGGATAAAAGCAGAGTTCTGCATCTTCGCTGTGACACTCAGACCCTGATGGTAAAAGCTCCTTCACAACAGTAATCAGTCCAAAAAGGAGTTTTCTGGTTTTGTAAATGAAAAACGAAATTGTTTACTGCTGTAAAAAGGCCAACTCAGATCTTGGCCCAGGTGTGCTACAGATAGAGCACAGGTTTGACACTGTTCTCTTCAATTTCTAAGGCGATGGGGGAGGGAGAGGGAAAATGACAGGTTAGCCGGACCTCACCCTGGGCCACTGGTCCATTCACCTAGCAGGTCACACAGAGGGTGGCAGACAGCAGGTGGGTTTGGACATCTTGCAAACACCAATGGCTATTATGTTGGTGGACTTGACCTCCATTCTTGTTTCTTATTATGTTCAGTGATTATCAGTATCACTATTACTTTTACTGGTTTATTGGTATCACTAGATTACTAGTACTAGATAATTAGTAATAGTGGTAATGATAATCATAGTAACCAGCACTAGTAGAAGTAGTCACAATAGTAGTAATCGTATGTCCAAGTAATCAGATTTCCAAGGCAAAAAATTAAATGGGATGAAATATCTAAATTTAGATTTTTCATATGTTGGGTCCAAAAGGTTAAGGGTCCATATACAGCTGGAAGCAACCAGAAACAAACAAGAAATCTTTTTTAAAATTTGAACAAAAATGTAAAAATGTAAACATAGTTTTAAAATTTTAAACGTAACTTGAAATCCTGTGCTTTACCTTAAAAATGAGCAAAATTTTCTTGCTATGCTATAATATTTCTGTGTCATCTTTCTCCTCTCTGCTCCACCCACAAAGCTGTGAGCTATAAATATGTTTCTAGCGCGTGGGCCAAGTTCATCTTAGGACTTTCTGAAGCCCCCTCCTGCCCTAAGCACATTCCTCAGCTGAAAGGATTGCTGAGTGTAGGCCACAAACCTGATTTCTGTATAGTTTCCTCACTTCCCAGAATGGGAAGAAAGAAATAAAAGATAAATCACAGGAGCTCCACACTGATAGGGAAAATAGCTGACCGAGAAAAAGTAAAAGAAGTGGTTACTTCTGAAGGAAATAGAGGAGTTCTCTCCAGGCCGAGATGACCACGTCTGGGGTATGCAGCTGGGCCTTGCAGTATCTTAACTGTTTCCAGAACAGCTGGGAACCCTTGTCCGCACAGCATCAGAGAATCAGTGGCCCATGGCTGTTTATCACTCTCACATTCAATTATGCCTGGCCTGTGCTGTAAGTCTGGAAACCCTGCCAGGCAGGGTCTGTGACTGTGACTGTAACTCAGCTGCCTCTGACCAAGGAGGTCCAATTGCATTTGATTGTCACCTCCGGGGTACTCGTTCTTCGGGCCCTTCCTAGGTAACTTGAAGTGCGACCTTTTCGTGAGACCTTAGAAGCTCTCCAGGTGTCCTGCTCATCCAGAGGGAGGGCCCTGGAAAAGGTTCTGGTGTATTTTGGGCACCAGACTTGCCTTTTTTTTTTTTTTTTAACTGGTGCATATGATTCGCAGGCTGAGTCCTAACTTTCTGCTAGCTGCTCTGATTCTCTGTGCTGACTCAGCTTTCCTCATGGATTCCTGCCAGTGTATGAAAGGTACATCCAGACTGGGAAAAGACACTCATCTATTCACCATTTCCAGACACCTGTGCTTGTTTGGACAAATACCCTCGGTCATCATCCACAAAAATGAGCTCTCAGAAACTCCAAGGTGCATTCATTTTGTGGATTCTGGAATTTTGAAATTTCCCATTAAATTGTCTGAAAGGGAGAGATCCCTTATAGTACCATGGAGGAAAATCCTTAAAATATTATGTGGCCTGAAGATTTTAACGAAATCGAAGAATGTCCCAAACCAATATACAGACTAGACAAGAGTGAAACGTTCACCCTTCATATCAGAAAATAACCAAACAGAAACTCCTGGAGGGCTCGCTCAGACTGAGAGCAAGCTCGTCTAAAACCAGCTACTTCTCTGGCAAACCCTGGATTTACCCTGGAGACACAAAACTTTCCTGGACCCTGCTGAGCACAGGATGAATATGCTTGGTTTAAACTATTCCTTTCTGTGAAACATTCACCCGTGCATCTTGTCAAGAAAGGCTAGTGATTACCTCACCGTACCAGTGGTCAGAATTTTAAAATTTGAAGGTTAATTCGGACAACACAGCCTTTATGTAACTTCAGAGGAGATGAGAGCCAGGGCTGGATGGTGAACGTGAGGGTCGAACACCAGGATCTCTGCTTGTTAAGATGCACTGAATCCCACCGCGGGCCTTGGCTATTCCTACACACCGGCAAAAAATCAAAACAAAACGAAAACGTAGCTCACCTCAACCATCTACAAATGAACAGCACTCAGTCACAACACGCCTGGGCCACCTTGGGTCCAGTTTCTGCAGCTCTGGGGTGGCAGAACCAGGTTTAGAAACCCGGAGTCTGAAGTCAGTTCAAAGGTCGCTGACCAGTGTCCCCTAAACTTCAGGTTTCTCACCCTGGAAACAGGACAGGCATCCCTTACTTTCTCTGGTCCCTGCGCAGACTAAAGCCATTCTCGTGGCTCAGCCGGCAGGCCGTGCTATCTTCTTGCCTTCCCCGCCTCTCACCTCAGGTGTAACCGAAGCGTCGTGAAGGCAGTGATTTCCTTGGTCGAAGCTGGTTACCTGATTCGTTGCCTTCTGGCGTTGCGTAACCTGCTGCGTGGGGGACGCGGTCTGGGAGCAGACAGGCTGGCGCGGGCCTGGCGTTCCGTCCGGCAGGGGGCAGCAGAGCTCGTCGCCCGCTCCGCCGCCCTGCGCGAGCTGAGAGCCATTAGGGCCCCTTAGGGAAAGAGCCGGCTGGCTTTTGCAGCGTATTTCTTTCCTTGCAAGCATTTTCCCTGTCTCGTTTAAGTGAGAACACTGCTTCGGCAACTGATACGTGCCTGCTTTTCATTCTTTCTTTCTTTTGGTTCCATCTGGAGGGACCAGTAATTTTTTGAACAGCTCCACGCTGGGCACCTTGTGGTCGTTGTTACAGGTGATTCCTTCTGCAGCCTAAGGTTTTCCCGATAATTCCCAATTCCCAGTTGATGACGGTGTTAATTAGACCCTTTTTAAAGCAGAACTGGGGCTTAGATGGGGGGGGCTCCTTCTGTCCAAACGGGTTCAATATGATTATTAAATGTTTGATGTGAATTAAGCATGCTTATTAGCTCTGGAGGACAGGAAACTACAAAGGACACGGGAAAGCCTTGTAATTTGAAAGACTATACGCAACTTTTTATCCTCCAGTGAGCACCTAATTTGGGAGGTGGTGGGACAGGGAAAAACCCTACCCTAGTCCTGGCCGATCCTAACCTGCAGTTTCCCAGGCCCCGGAAGGGTTCTGCAGGCTGCAAAGAGTGGGAAGGGGCCCTGAAGGTCACCCAGGGACTGTCTCCAAATATCTGAAGGTCACTATTTGGAAGAGTGAGTGGCTCTATCTGGCTTTGCACTGAATCAGGTGTCGTTCATATGAGCAGGGCGAGAAGGCTTCCACATCAGGTAAAGCACAGGGGGCTCGGGGTTGGCCCTGATCCAAACCTGGCTGCCTCCTTCCTCGTTTATCAGAGGGAAGGACTGGGCTCCAGGACTCCTCTCCGATTGTGGAGCGGGGTCTCTAAGTCCTCCTCCAGCCAGGACTGTTTTTCTCCACTTGTGAGATAACGACGTGAAAGTGTTCGCACGCTGGAGAAACGTCAGCAGGTGCCGGGATGCAGGCAGTGGCCACACACTGCAAAATGAGTGACACGTGGGGAGCGAGGAAGGAAATCGGAGATAACTGAGGAAGCCTGTGTCTTGGGGAGCCTGTAATCGGGATGGAGATGGGGTAATGGAAAAGACAGAAAAGAGCGCCGAGGGCAAAATAAGGACTGGGACCCAGAAGTTCACTGTTCCATAGCCTCTGGGTTAGGACTAAGACCAGTCTCCTCCACCCCATCCTTCAGAACCTTGGCTCTTCCGAGCCCTCGCTAGCTGTGTCTGGTTGATAGGGACCTCAAAAACACCCTGGGCCCTTCGGGTTAACAGCAGGGCCTGGGGAAGGCTGTCTGTTTACTGCTTCTCCCTGCATCCTCGCAATTAGCAGCCAGCGGAAACAATGAGATGAGCGCTCCAGTAACTCGGTTGTGACCGCTGGAGCCCAAAGCAGCTCTTGTCTCATCAACACCCTGTTATTAATCAGGGAGGAAGGGGGAGGGCAGCGCGGGGACCACACAGCCTGAAGCCTGGGCCCTGCGGGGTCCTCTCTAAGCTGCTCAGAGAAAGCAAGACAGCAGGAAAGCGGCCCAGGAGGAGGCCCACTCGGTGCCTGCCGCATGGTAACCCTCCACGGTGGCAGGGAAAAAGATAAGCGAAAGGCAGGAAACTCTAGGCCCGGCGCAGCTCCGTCTCCCTGCCTTACAGACAAGACCTCCACCTGCTTGGACCAGGGCGGCTGTCTGGTTTGGGTGACTACTCTTGAGTACTGAGTTAATGGGGAACAGTGCAGAATGGGCAGCAACCTGTTCTAGCAAGTTTTGCCGCAGAGAAGGGTCCTTAGGCTGACGCTGCAGGCTTTCTTCTTATTGTCCTGCTGTCTATGGTTGGGCATGGCGAGGCTCCACCCTGGATCGCTCCACGTTGGAGTTGTTTTTAAAGCCACTGGCGTGCTGTTTGAGGAGGGGGCTGGGGTGCAGAGAAGCCGGGAAACACAGCCCTTGCTGAGGAATGAGGACTGGGACCTGGGCCATCTCTGCCTTACACAGCCTTGGTCGCAATGACCGGGGCCTGTTTTTCTCACTCAGACAGCTTCTTCCTAAATCAACCTGAGACTTTTTCCCTTCCTTTCCCCTCTTACCTTCTTCGCCTCTCGCTCTACACTGGATCCTTCCAGTGCCCAGGAAGCCCCCAAACACCAAGTATTCCAGAAACAAACAGGCCACCTCTAGTTCAAGCAAGGGGTGCCGGACTTCACACTGCTCACCACCTTTTTTGCCATAAAATGAACTAATGAATGATTTATATATAGAACACCTATCGATTTGAAACACTTTCAATTGTATTTTTACTCTTCTTGTTGTGTTTTTGTTTTGGTTTGGCTTTTGGCTTTTGTCTTGTTTTTGAGACAGGGTTTCACTATATAGTCCAGGGTAGCCTTGAACTCAGTGTGTACCTCAGGCTGGCTTCTAACTCGAGGTGATCCTCCCGCCTCAGCCTCCCGAATGCTGGGATTACAGGCGTGCCCTACCAAGCCTGGCTCCTTGTGCTTCTGCCTGACAAACAGCTGTTTATCTTTCCTCACCTTGTTGACAGTTTCATCTGTTTGTTTCTTTTCCCTCTCTCAGATTTCCAGGTGACGATTTTCTAAAATGTGGTGCCATAAGAACAATATAGGATTTGGGATCAAGACAGCTGCATGTTAGCCTAGCCTTGGGGACATCAGTCAATCCTGTGAGGCTCGATTTTTCCACCAGAGGAGAAAGACCCCAGATTCCCAGGAAAGTTCTGAAAAAGTGCCATGCAGATCTCTCTCTCTCTCTCTCTCTCTCTCTCTCTCCCTTCTTTCCTCCCTCCCTCCTACTCTGTCCTTCTCTCGCTTGCTTTCTTTAATATTCGTCTCTTTTTTTTTTCTCCTCAAAACTGGCATTTTAAAAACTGTTGCTGTTAAAATGAGTACTTGCCTTTTAAAAATCTTCAAGTTGCTAAGCAGCATCTGCCCCCCCTCTTCCCCTTTTATGTAGCCTGGTTGCCATAGTATCATTTGAGCATGGTAACAAGAAGCAAAGAGCAATCATTTTTCACTAAACAGGGCTGGGAAGACAGATAAACATGCTACAGTGTTTCCTTACAACCCATCTCGAGCAGGGGGACTGGCTCTAAGGTGTGCACCTGGCTCTCTCCCCTCGGTTACCACCCTGGCTCCCTGTCCTGCCGTGGCTGTCTGCACCTGTGGCTCCTGGCATGTCGTGCCACCCCTGAGCAACACTTCCTAAAAAGGCTTTAGAAGGGATGCTGCTGCTCCTCCGGTACTTGTAGCTGTTTGGGGCTAAATGCAGACTCAGATCCTTTGTGGAGAGTTGCTAAACATAGAGCGTTGAGTGTGAATCGGTATTGTGACTAAAGGTGCTCGTGTCTTGTCGTAGCAGGTTTGGAAGATAATAAACAGACGTCATCAGAGTGACATCAAAGGGCACTCTTGAAAAGTAGAAAGGATAAAGAGAGAAGTGAAAGTAAAGAGCCTACTGGAAATCTCACATGAATTTGAGAAATTTCAACCCTAGACTCCTTTTGTTAAACCCAAAGCTCACAGAGTTCACACACCTGATTACCAACAGCACAAACTGGGCCGGAAGTGGGTGTGACCTTCCCTTTGACTAGGCTGCCCTGCATGGTCCAGTTTCCAGGGCCAAGAAGCACAGGCAAGGCTCTACTGGTTGACAGAGTTTGTTAATAATTCAGATGTTTAATGCAAAAAAGGTACAGTATTATTAGGAAACAAACAGATATTATCAAATGAAAATATATTCTTTTAAAATCATAATACACCGTGCATTTATCATTGTTATTTTCCAATTATTTTTGTTATGAAAAATTGTGTTGTGTTGTAGAATGGCTTTTTATGTTTTCTTTATTAATATCTACTTGTATTGCCCTAAAAACCAAAACTTTCTAAAAAATCACAGCATTACTTGACTGGTGCTTTTCCCAGAGTGTCCTCCTGCCTCCCAGCCACCGAAGTACCAGCTGCAGGGCCCTAGGCCGGGGGATCCCACAGTCCAGGCTGGTCAAAGCAGCCCACCCCAGCCCTGAGCCCAGCAGCTGTTCTGATTGGGCCCTGTACCCTTTATACGCCTTGCTCACTATTTCCAATATTTTGTCTTAAACGTGCCCTCCTGGACTCCAAATCGTTTTCTAAATCTGTAACTAAGTCATTGTTTCCTGAGGAAGCAAATTTCCTCTTCCAGATGAAGCCATCAGCCGAGGGCGCCACCCTCTACAAGATGTCCCTTCCCCTCAGCCTTCCGCAGGAAGACGCTTCTTTTGAGTTGGGGCTGCAGGATTGAGACGAACAAGCACTGTCACCCGCGCTCTCATGCTTGGCTGCCCTGTGACAATGACACACCGTTGTCAGGCAGCTGGTTACAATAAGAAATGCGCTCCCTGGCTTCATGGTGCTGTGTACCGATCCCCTGAGCTGATGCCCTACATCTTAAACACATGTGGCTTAGAAGGGCTTAGAGAGGGCTTTTCAAGCCAAGGCAGGGCTGTCCGCAGGCTTCTCCAAACAAATCTTCTCCCACCAAGTGGAATGAAACTTTCTTCCCTTTATCCTCCAGGGCCTTCTTATTCTTCTCTTTCTCCTTCCTGCTGGAAGCCACTTTGGTGTGAAAAGCGAGACTCATCTGAGGACTCCTAAAACCCAGGCAGGGAGCAGAAGAGATTTCCTGGTCTTGGCCTTAGCAGAGTGGAAGCCTCAGACATCAAGGCAGGCACTGTCCATCCAGAGAACTTCTGCCCTGTGCCTCAGTTACCCGACCTGGGGTTTGTTGGCCTTTGCTCTGGGAAAGTCTGGGGGACTAAGGAATGCATTCTTGAAGCCCAGTTTTCTTCTGTCCGAATTCCTCGGCTTCCTAAATCCCAGCTTTCTTGGCTTCCCCACCTCCGCCCCTTACTTAAGGTCCCTGCTC